GTTGAGCTGGCAGTTTCTCTCAGCCACTAAACTTGGTCTGAATGATGCTCAGCTGGAAATGATCGCTTACAAACTCTTTGGTAAATCCTGTTTCTATCTTCTGTTGATTATTTAGCTTATTTTTGTAGTTGTTTTGTTTATAGATTGAGCTGAAGTCATTCGTCTGTTTGTGAAACATGAAATCAGGAAACACTTTTTGTCACATGTTGCTAAAATGCATTTTGAATTTTAAGAATAATTTGCCTTAAAATTTAAAGATAAAAAGACCTCGGCAAACGGCCTCCGCAGCAATTTTAATAATATTCTGTCATTCATTAACCATAAGAATAGAGATGACCATACAAATTGTGCCCTAACTATCATATAATAGTAAATGATACCATCTTCTACCCCAGTCAAACAAGGGATGCCCAAAAATGTATGCTATAAATCTATATTCACAATTTTGCCTGACCACAATGGCAAGGCCTGCCTTAGAACTGTCAAAGTCTGTGACCGTGTGCTGAAGTTACATCACTGAATGGCCGGCAGAGTGTTGCTGTTTCAAAATAACTTGCCTCTAAAACAGTCTCTGTTATCAGGTGGGCAGAAAGTGTTGCCAACTTCATTCATTAGTTATGAGGTTTACTGATTTTTAGACCCCTTTAGAGACTTTCTTTTCAGGATAAACCTTAGCTAGCTTTCCACAGACGCCAGTTATTCCCCCATGAGTGTGAGGTCAGGCTTTCACGCTGCAGACATGAGAGGATGCTGCATTGCATCCTATACTGTTGCATCAAAGTGACCACAGTAGGTCAGTGTTTGGCAGCATTCAGTTTTCTGATGAGTGTTTGTCACTGACATGAGGAACCTGAAGCATCTACCAGAGAACAACAGGACACCAGCATGAGTCATTCACAGTTCACATTGATTTTTCAGATTATTGGATGGTACGATATAATTCAGCATCCTTTATGATATTTTCTTGTAGATTTTATCTAGATGTGAAGCGTACAATTTCTTTCTTTGTCAAACCAGGAAAGCAGCTGAATTACGACAACTGCAAAATGGGTTGGTCAAAATTCAGCAAGGTAAGAATATTGAAGTTTTGAAAATATTTGTTATTATTTGATTCTTATTCTCCCTTAAGTTGAATTGTTACCTTGCCATTAATGACCCGAACCTACAGATCTAATGATATGACCATCATACTAATTTTCGGCCACTTAAAACGGCAAACGATACCTGCAAAGCAACAGCATGTTAACGGGGACATTGTGACCATGTTAGTTGAGAGACACCTCTCTATCAACCGCAGCCATTTTTCACTATGAAAAGGATCAAAATTCCACCATCCATCTTACACTTTGGTTTTCTGTTTAATGACCATTAGACCCTGAGCCTCTCAGCACCACTAGCAGGGCTGCAGATTCTTAGTTGTTGTGTATTGTTTATAAATACATTTTCTATGTGTGTATCAAATAACTTTTCCACGCTCTTTGTTACAGGAGAATAGTCCAGACACGTTTTGGATGTGGTTTGATGGCATCTTGGTGATGGTGAAAACATACCTTGAGGAGCTGTGGAGGGATGGGTATGTTAACTCTGGGTTCATAACTGCATTTTATCTCTTGCTCGTAATTCCTAGGAAATGAGAAAAGTTTGTAGTTTGAACAAGATTTCTTTTTCATGTGCTGTAGACTCATCATGGGTTTTGTGAGCAAAGGCAAAGAGAAGTCTATCTTGAAGAAAAAACAGAGAGGCACGTTCTTGTTGCGCTTTAGTGACAGTGTCATTGGAGGAATCACTTTCTCCTGGGTGGAAATCACTGGAACTGGTGAGATAGTTTTAGTTCAAAATTATTCCCCAAAAATGTTTTGGTACGCAAAAAGACTGAGAAGCTTCCTCTCTGATAAGTCAAACAATCTTTTTTTTTGTTTTTTGTACTGTATATGATCCTGTGTCTATTTTAGGTGAGCCTGAAGTGAAGACAGTCCAACCCTTCACCAAAGATGACCTCAAACAGATCCCCTTCCAAGAGATCATCAGGAATTTTCAAATCTTAGAGGCTGATAACATTCCAGAAAATCCTCTTCTTTATCTGTACCCCAACATCCCTAAAGAGGAGGCCTTTGGAAAATACTACTCTGAGAAGAGTGGAGGTTAGAGCACCAAATTTATTTGCAGATTCTTGTTTCAAGCGACATGCATATTTTCAAAAAAAAATAAAACTGCCAAAAAGCACCGCATATTGTATGTTGCTCATCTACATTGAATGGCATGTTGGTTCGCAGTAGTACTGGATAAATGTATTTATTCAGTGTTAGGGATGAAGATGACACATTAAATCACATGCAAACTCATTTTCTTTCAGATGCTAGTCCTTACATCAAGTACATCAAAACCAAGCTGATGTTTGTTTCAAAGGAGTAAGTATAGGCTAATTTCGAGTTTCTTGTTTGTTTATAAACCATACAAAGCAGAGAGTAAAGTTGCTATAACAGAAGCTGGTGCCACTCTGTTATAGCAACAGTTCTGTTTGTGTTTTCTCATCTTCTTTCCATTCTTCCAGTGTTGTTGTTACATTTTTCTCAGTGAGCGGACATCAGGACTGAGTGTTGGTTATTGTGAGTCAGTTTGTAATGAGAGATTAACAACGCAGTGCCAGACAGTGTGTACACACAATGGTCGACTGCCGGCATGAGACCACAGCAGTGTGCTGTATACATGTTCCCGGGACGCACTCAGTTCATCTAAGAGGCAGCATACCCAGCAACTGGTTGTAATGACTGTTTGTGATTGGTCATGTAGGAACACACTGGAGGCTAGGCCACCCATGTCCTCTGACATGGCACAGGGTGAAGGCCTGGAGCCAATGAATGGCCTGTGTGGAGAGGCAGCTGGTGAGTCATGGCTCCACTTGCTGTCCCACCCAGCTAAAAACCTTGTCAAGCAAACAAGTCTCTCTTTCATCATGGAGCTTTGTTACTATCTCTGTCTCAGACAATGACTGTATATGAAGATGGACGCTGTGAGTTATGAAAAAGTGAAGCTCGTTTGCCAGCAGGCAGCTGGCTGGCTGCAATGTATAATCAGTGCCCTGTCCATGTTAGTGGATGGGACATGGATCCAAATCACATGTTTTTGGTCAGACAACACCTGCATCTGATGTACAGTGGGAGGAGGTGGAAACACGTCATCCATCTTAATATATGGTCATTGGTTTTTGATCAGTGGGAAACATGCTGTCAACACAGTAGAAGCCAGGAGACAGCTCTACAATTGTTGAACAAATTTCCCCACTGTGGGACTAATAATGCATTATCTCAATCTAATGTTATGGGTTTTGTTGGCTGTTTCTGCTGCATGTACTGTAGTCTGTTCTTCTAAACTCAAAATGTAACATTTGTGGAAGTGATAGGGTTCTGCAAAACTCTTAATTTAACCCTAGGGCTTTTGGTTTCACCCTCTGTTGCTTGGTGCATCCACTGCAGCTCACTATAAAACTTAAAAACTGCAAGTGCAAACAAAACCACTCATACAATCAATCATAGATATCAAATATGATTTAGTCTAATATTTCCTAATTATGTGGTGATTAAATGTCAACCCCTTTATTTTTCATGGCTTGAAAATCAGAAATATTGGGATATAATTTAATTTATTATTTTGATTCATAGGAAACAGTAACAAAATCTACTGACTAGAACCTCTATCATTTGTTAAATACATATCAAAATGAAAGCTTGTTCCCATGGTTCTGTGCTGTATTATTTCTGGCCACAACTAGTAAACTCCTGAAGTCTTCTCACAACGGCTCAGAACCGAAAAATGTCAGAAACATGTTCATTAAAGAGCTTTAGAGGAACTGGTCAGCAGATTTTGTTACCTCTTAACAGAGCCAGTCTACATGTTTACAGTGTTCATGATATGCTAAGCTGACCAGCGTCTTACTGCAACCCGTGAAAGTAATGTGCATGTATTTCTCTTGTTGCACTTTTCCTTTAGGAATTACAAAGAATGTATTAACACTGCATGCAATATACAATCAAATTCTGTTGTTCTGTACACTCATACAGAAAGAGTCTGTGTATTTTTAGCTGCTGAGCATGAGACATATTTGTCACTCTCATTTCCTCAGTGAAAACATAACCAGAAATAATGTATCTTATTCTTCTGTTCCGTCTTCATCTCGCAGAACAAAACGGAAATCTTCATCCTCTTGATTCGCACATGGAAACCTATCAGTCTGATCCCATGCTGTCTGACTCAGTCCTGCAGGAGGATTTGCTGCAGCCGTTTCTCGACAACCCCAACCTCTTCCTTGAATCAAGCATCTTTGAAGATGAGCCGGGGATGCCTCAGTTCACACTTCAAGAATTGCATTGCCTGTCCCCATAATCCTGTGGAATCATTTTACAAAAAGCACCTGTTATCTGTATTTAACCAAACCATTGTATCACTCATCATCTGCTTTCTCTCAACTACCTGCATCATAACATCCATGACACAGAAGTGTAATCAACATAGCAAATCCACAGTCAACAAATACTTTACTTTAGATCCTGTTTTCATTTGAAGTACAACTTTTGATAATCCTGGCTGTAAATGTTAAAAATAGCTTTTTAGAATAAAATATTTATAATTTATTTTATCATGTTTATTGTTGTTGAAAATTATTGTAAAGACAGAGGATATTATTGAGGAAACTGGAATCATATCCACTGAATCAGGCACTTGCACTACACCTCCCACTCTGAAAAATGTTGGATTCGGGCCCCTTTTTATTTTAAGACCAGACAGCTAAAGAATGCTAGAAAACCGAAGATTTAAGATGAAGGTTTAATTGTAATAATTCCATCTATGGTTGTTTTAATGTTGCAGATCCTGGTAAAACTGCTAAGACCTAACATTTCCTCCTTTAATGCTTTTATATTAACCTGCTCATTTAAGTCAAAATAAAGGTTGCTGGCAATACAATACAAATGTATGTTTGTATATTCTGTTAATCAATGAATATTGTTTATGAACAAACATGCCAAATTGTTTTCTTAATTTGCACGTGTTTTTTCTATTTGCATGTGTTTTCTTAGTCAGCAGTGTGTTGAGCTCTCTCGCCCATTGTACATATCATGAGTCATACACTGAGCATGTTAACACTCATCCAGAGTTGAGACACTGGTAAGAGTCATAGGTTCCTGCGTTACTTAAATGAGGCATGTTGTGTAAGACGAGGATTTCCAGTGCTGATTTTGTAAAAGCTGTGTTTATAATGTGACGTAACAGACACAGAAAGTTAAAATGGTAATCATGTCCAGACTCCTTGCACCAAATTCTAAAAGCAACAGTGCAAATTGTATTACTTAATATGTCTCACAACTTACATTTCAGAGTAAAAGAGTAAAAGTCTTGTATTTCACTAGAATGATATCCTGGGTTTCCGTAAATAGAAGTCAGGATCTCAGAGGCTGTGAGCGGGTCCAGAGGCAGGTGAAGGGTGCGGCGGCCCTGGTGAGCAGCAGCTGGTAGGCCTGTCGAAACTGTCGGTTCATGACAGCATAAAGAATGGGGTTGATGCAGCTGTTGAGCCAGGTGAGGTTTGCGCAGAACATGTGCAGTACCTGTGGGGCGCGGTTCTGTTTGTCGGCTATGTTGAGCAACAGGAAGGGCACAAAGCAGCAAACAAAGCACAGAAAAACAATGAAGCACATGCGGGTCACTCGCTTGAATTCGCCATCATTTCCTGAGGTGGCTGAGGGGGAAGATGATGCTGCATTCGTGGATGAAGTTGGTGCAGGGGTGATATCAGGAGGCCTGTTGGCTGCTGATGAATCTGAGGCCGTGGCAGAGCTCTGGGTAGATTGGTTGACCATTTTGGAGGTGATATTGTTTTGTGCTAGATCTGCCTGGCTGCTCACCTCACAGCTACATGTGTTGGCCATGCCACTCTCCACACCACTGTCATCAGTCCCTTGCAATGAGGGAGCTGGTTTCCTCCTGGACGACCTGCGGCTGAGCCTGTACTGAAGCAGAGCTTGTGAGGCAATGTGGACACGTCTGTAGATGAGCAGGTAGAATGCACCAACGCAGCTCAGACCAACAAAAAAGTAGAAAAAGAGCAGGATGGTGGTGTAGGGGCGACCCCTGGTACGATGGAAGCTGCATGTGCACACCTGTGGTACGAACACGTAGACGGGCCAGAGTGGGCCGAAGCTGGCCAGGCCGAGTGCCCATGCCGAGGCAAGGAGTAATATTAGACCTCGGTCAGAGAAGATACGATCAAACACAGTCCGCTTTGCAACCAGGAGATATCTGCTCACTGCCAGCAGGCATAGGGTGATGATGGAGACAGAGTTGGAGAGGAAGAGCAGTAGGCCGAAGATGGTGCACCAGAGCTGACCACTGCGCCATCTGAGGTGTAGGTAGGAGTCGACAGAGATAGGCTGCAGTATGGTGCAGTAAAGGAGATCGGCTACAGCAAGGTTGACGATCAGCACATTGAAGCGAGTCCTCAGACGTGGGTCTAAGGCAAAAGCCAGAATGGTCATCAGGTTCCCAACTGTTCCAGTGATGGTCACAGCACATCCCCACAGCACAGCAAAGTACCGGTAGCCTACGACTGAGGGACTGTAGCAGGAGAAGAGGTCGTCCTCTGTTTGGTTTGTGTGGTTCATCAGCATTCTGTCAACTGACAGGAATAAAAATATGGGTCAACTTTTCTGTCATGTGCTAATGGAAGGTTCAGTTCAAAGATAAACCCTGTCCTTCATGCCTCTAGTCTCCCAAGAGGAAGTTAATGATGGTGAAGTTCCCCACTTCCTCTTGTGCAAAGGCTGAGAAATGTCCACAAGCCAGAAATAATTTCTAAACATCAGGCATCATACTTGATTTAATGAATGAAAAAAATGAAATTAAAAGATTTTTTTCATAATAAGTTTTGTCTTAAACTATAAGGTGGATTCTGCTGAAGGTTGATGACTCTCAGTCTGTGAAACATTACATAACGCAAAGTTAGAGAAGCAGAAAAAACAAGATTTAAAGACTGAATGTATCTTTTTATTTATTCTAAGTAAAGCCAAATGAAAAGTTATAAAATAAATCCTCTCATCATTGTCTCACCTTTAAGTCTTTCTGATCATTGATGCGCATCTGTTATTCTCTTCAGTGGACTGAGTCTCTGAATGTCTCCCTTCCTGCTGGTGTTATATTTGTTGTGCATCCCCTGTGTTGCTCAAGTTTCCTCTGCATAATCAGATGGTGTGAAGATGGGTTTTTCCAATGTATGTCTTAATTCAGGAAAAGAGCTCTTGCCAATTTCCTTTTTAATATTTCAAATTGAGAAATGTGTTTTACATCAATGTCAATTTTATTTATATAGCACATTTAAAACAACTTGTCGGAGACAACATGTAGGACCA